AGTTTTATGATACAATTTATATCGATAGCTTGGGGAATTAAGGTGGGCGTATTCACAAAAGGAAACTTATAAAAGATAACAAAATCGACTCAACATTCACAGCTCTTTGTTTTAATTTGATTTAATCGATAACGTTGGGTTTATTTCGGCAGAGAAAAAAAAATAGTTACTTGTACATTGTAGATCACAATTTTTTTCTTCTTTAGTCAAAATTCAGGAGATCCTGATATTTACAAAGTTCTAAACCTTAGATGAAATATGGAGAAAACGAACAGTAATCAACCTCGAAAGTCCAGAAAAACAATACAAATCGGGAGTAGAGCAAACAACGACCTCCAACAAACATCAGAGGTGGGATCAGGTGTCATGGGGGAGTAAGCATCTCCTGTCGATCGGTCACACCCGCCATGTGTTCATTGTAATGAACAGGCAAATATAAAAGTCCGCAGACAATTCAGTCTTTAAATAATGACCTAACAATTAGTATGAAAAACTTAAGTCAGCATTCGACTTAATGATATACTATATTTGCTGACAAGGTCATTGTATCGACCAAAAACTTGCGAAATGATGACTTTAAACGAGACTGTTTATATCCTTGTTTCATCAACTTTTTTCTCAATAGCTTGCCTCGTTTTAGACCTTGTTCATTCTTGGATGATGCTCTTGCGTACCGAATCAACTGGGAGACATAAACTCCATATGCAGATGACAATGGTATATTGCTACATAAATAAGGGAATTTGACGATAGAAAAGTTGAAGTCATCACGTTTATCATAAAGTTTTGTAGTTAGGTTACCATAAACGTCTTTTTCTAGTAAAATTTCCAAATCTGAAACAGATGTGTCAGAACTCTGTATTACCTTTTCTTTCGAGTTCTAAAGGACAAACTTAGGAATGAAAATGAATACTGTCCATTGATAAAACTTCTTCGATATCTCTAAACTTTGAAATGAAGGCCACAGAAAGAGACTTTTTCTTTCATGTAGAAGTCTCTGAATATAAATCCTGCTTCATATGATTTTTTTTTTGGCTTTCGTTCCCCACTTTGTATATAATTTAATTTGCTTTATCAGTTGTAACATGTACATGTACAACATTAAATACATGCAATGTGCTAAATTGGTTGTTTTTTAAAGACTTTTTTTTTATATAGAAGAATTCTTCAGGTTTGATTTAAAAATCCATTGTATGTGTTCCTGTGTTTACATTGTACGCCTGCTTTCTTCACTTATACAAAATGTTAAGGATGATTCATATAACCTGTATAACAAATCTTCTGTATGGTAGACTCTGCTATATTAGATACAGATCATTCACAGGTGGGATCTATCAGAATATTTGATTATTTTTAGTCTTACTTCTGATCGTCAGCCTTAATTTTTGTTCCGGGGGTTCGACTTTTATTTATATTTGAAAACATTAACCGTGATAATTTCTCATAAATATACAGCTGTAAGTAAATATATTGAAACACTAGAGCGATTCGAGAATTAAGTCTGACTTAGCTAAGAACTCGCCTAGACATACCAGGTATTTGCTTAAGTAGTACTCATGCACTAAGGTCCTTAGTCCGCACCTAAGTCATACATGTACGTATGACCCTAGCTACTGTAATTTACGGGTACTTGAGGGAAAAAGTTCACGCTGTGCTTCAGCGCCTGTCTTTTCAAGCTGTATATAGTATTACATGTGTGGAGAATATAAGCAGAGCGTGTTTTAACATCTAAACACGAATTATCAAGGTTGGTTTTTTTAAAGGGACTGTTTGTTTGTTGTTTTTTCCCTTTGATTTAGCTCCAAGATTCTGCTAAAACATTTCATATGATAATGTAGTTTAAGAAATGACATCGACTCTTCATTGATAAAAAATTGAAATCATTTCATCAAACTAGAAACATTTTATCCCTATTCAAACATACTGGTTATTATTGCACATCCATCAAGTATATTTTTCCTTGTAAAAAAATGATATTCTCTAGGATAAGATGTCACGAATTGTCAAGTGTTTTTTTTTTCTTTCTGCAAAATCTTTTAGCTGCTGCTAGATCTACAGTCAGATTTTTTTTTCATTAATAACATGTTTTATTGAGTTTTTTTTCAATACTTTAGATGTGTAAGATAGTATAAAGTCATTTTCCTGACTTTTTTTATAAAGCTAATTATTACTTCATGTACAATCATCAATCAAGTCACTCGTACATGTCCGTTATCACTAGTTAATTTAAGCCATTCATCCAAATGAACGTATTCAATTCTTTAAAAAATGTCAGCATTTTCCAGCAACTTTGCATTTGATGTTTATTATCAAAAAGTAAAATTTCTAAACCGAAATCGCATCCCTCACTGCAAGGAGGCGGGGTGTACTTTATTAAATATGTAACTAAGAACTTTTGAACAAAACAAGAAACACATTGGCTTATTTTTTTTCTATAGGACTGATGCGATAAAACACTTCTTATCTTTGACCTGATACGAATGTTAAAGAAAATAGTCATTTCTGAAGGATACATTTATATTCAATTTATCATATTAGGTTGTTGTTTTTTTTTTTTAAATTACTTTATAGTTTATTTTATTACTTATGTATAGTACACGAATGTCATGTCAGGAAAAAAAATCGATTATAATTTTCCAAAATTTTATTGGTTGTTTTTGACTTGAGTTGAAAGAGAACGTCTTTTGTATTTGAAAAAAAAAATGATTTGCTAACTTGAAAGTCATCAAATGCAAGTACGCTTTTTACTGCAAATTAGTGATTATCAAAATAATGAAGTCTGCCCTAATAATTTTTAAAAAATGGAAGTTTAACTTAATTAGTTGCTGTCGCTATCTCAAACATATGAACATGTTGCTTTATAATCGGAAAACAGAAAGACAGCAATAGAGCATGCATGTTGCTTTACGATAAGAATAAAGAGTTCTAGAGCACTGATTTTCTGCTTTGCTGTAATAATAAAGAAAGCTAGAACACGAACATGAACATGAACATGCTTCTTTATTAAAACATTTAATAAAGCTGTGTGATAAAGATAATTAAGCTTGAACACATGAACATGTTGATAATAATAAACGATTACGTCAAAGATTTGTTCAATTCCCAATGGATTTGTCATCATCTACTTTTAGTTTAGTGACCTAGTGCCTTTTACAACTTTTCGTAAAAAGAGAGATATTTATTTGGATATATAAGCATAAATCTTTTCCCTATGGGCATATATCAGATAGGTCAGTTTGATATAACATGTTTCGTTGCACTGAAGTTCGGCATCCATGCGAAGTTCGTTAGCTTCCTGAGTGCGTTCGCTCTTATTAGCATTATCGACATAAAATAATTATACATTTGTACTTTTGAAATTGAATTAATAATCCCCCAGTCGAATGTGAAATGTGAACAAAATTTAATTAATAATAAGGTAAAGAGTGAACTTTTTCTTTAAGAAAAGAAGAAGTTCATAATTCACTTATCTTGCACATTTAAAAAAAAAATCAGATACTACACTAGACTGAATATTGAATAGAACCATAACCGATATTTCAGACATCCTTTCCGTGTAGAAAGGAAATCGTTTTAGTAACTACATGTCATTAAGATTCACGATATAGCACTGAGCGTGACGTAATTAGACTGACAATGCATTCCGGGTAGTACGCTGAATATCCGAATATAAAGTCTCTATTCTCATCCTATCCCTAAAATAACGCTGCCGTACCCAGATTGACTAGATTAGAAGGGGATAGGTAACATTGCCTTGATCACGTTCCACAAAAAGTAAATTTTCAAGCTAAAATTGAAAGAGAAAACCACACTAAAATCGATATTTCACCATCCCATGCTTGCATTTCCGGGTTCAATTTATCAGAGTTCCTTTCCAGACATAGACAATTATTGGTTGTTTTGGTCCATATCTGAACACGTGACATGGCATAACGGGTGGGTTGTCTACTGATACCGTTCTTCAGATTGTATACGAAAACATTGCATTTTTGTTTAAATACATTTTCAAGCAAGTTGTTCTTCTTTTGATTTCTTTCTGTGTTCAGCACAAGAAGGAAACCATGCATAATGGTAATATTTCAACATCAAGCAACAAAGGCACTATTAGCTAACGTTATTCCTGAAGGATGGGACAGAAAGAAATAATGGAAAAAACTTACCTAGCCAACCTAAACAATCTTTAAAAAGCGTTAAAAAATTCCAAACTCGCATGGGAGGCGTTGTCCATCCTGCAACAAATGTAGGAAGACCAGCTGGCCGTATAAAGAATTATAATTACGTAATAAATTAACAGTAAAATATTCTGCCTGTGGGGTGTTGTCCAACTTTATCTTCAACAACCAAATTTTATTAGTACATTTCCATTTTACCTTGATTTAACTAAAGGCCTACCGCATCAAAAAAAGGGGGGGGGGGGGGCAAACAGCCTTTCAATGAACAGTTTTAACAGTAAACCTTGTTAATATTTTATTGGTTTGTTTACAAATTGTGAGGTGACCCTGTTAATATGATATATTCATGTTTACAAATTGTGCCTCTAACACAGTTAAACCTGTTTACAGATTGTGCTGCTATTCAGGATAATAAGATAATGGTTTGTTTATAGATTGTGAGGCTAACCTGCTTAATGTTTTCAGATTGTAGAGCCAACCAAAGTGTACCACTGGTTAAATATGTTTTTTATTGGTTTGTTTACATATTGTGCCCATAACCTGGCAAATATGATATATTAATTGTTTACTTATACCGCTAACCTCGTTAATGTGATAATTGTTTACAGATTGTGCGGCTAATCTGGTTATTGTGCCACTGACTTGTTTACAGATTGTGCAGCCAACTTGGTTGATGTGTTACTGACTTGTTTACAGATTGTGCCGCTTACGTGGTTAATGAGTTACTGACTTGTGTACAGATTGTGCGGCTAACCTGGTTTATGTGTTACTGACTTGTTTGTAGATTGTGCGGTTAACCTGGTTAATTTGTGATTAACTTGTTTACAGATTGTGCGGCTAACATGGTATCCGGTCCTACGTGACACTATATACTACCTCCTCTCCGTAGCAGCGCTGATCATCACCATATACGACAACGAAGTTCAGTGGTGGGTAACAATTTATACTTTTATTTTTCGTCTTATGGTTATAGACACTATAAGAAACATTGTGACCCAAGTGCAAAATTCCAGCGAAAAGTCATAATTCCGTTAAATTTTTTATAAGATAGGCATTGGTTTTCTTTGTAGGTATTCTTTGCAGTATTTTGTAATTAGAAGGCTTTTAGCATATTTGGAAGACACTCCCCCCTTTCTCTCGATCGATCTGTTGAATTTGATTATATGCCGGCAAAATCTTTAGAATATTTTCAAAGATCTTAATAAAATTTGGGGACATTTGTTCTTCCCTTGTAGCTGAGAATTAATTATTTCTTTCTTTAAAACTGAGAACAACTCTTTGTTCTTGTGTTAAAATTGATTTGGATTTGAATTGGATTCAATACAATTTAATGAAGCAAAGTCATTTGCTCTTGTGTAAGATTTCATTACGATTTCAATGCATTCTAAGCTCATTCTTTTTTGCTCTTGGATCTGATCCAAGATACGGTTTCAATAAAATTTTAAGACAATTATAGGGATTTCAGTAAAACTTAACCAAGGGTTGAAGACTTGATTAGGATTTCAATGAAATCAGAGAACAAATGGTTGCTGTCGGGTTATAATTATTGAAAATGTTCCCGTGGAGCATTTATATGCAGGAAATCCCTGTCAAAAAAATATACCTAGAAACATGCTTTAAATGAATCGACATATTGCTTTCTGTGACACACTCTCTGAATTGACTTGGACACCGAAAGAAGTTTTAATTAGTATTCAATGTTACTATCTCAGATACATTTGATTTCTTACATTCATATACATGTACAACAAACGACTTTCTTTGCGAACAGTTCGGCATATGAATATGCTACCTGTATAAAACACAGATAGAACAGGCTGTTGTTACATGTATTAATAAAAAAATAGCTCATATAAGGTAATTAGTGTCGAGGAGGGGGGAGGGTCTCCCACTTTTTAAAACCTAATTTATTACTTTTATTTTTTCATGAAAATGTTTATTGAAAGGGTTAAAGTCTGGTTGTCCTCCCCCTACTTACACACACAAAAATAGGATTTTCGTGTTTGCATGGGAAGTCCCTTTTTATTGCTCGTCAAAGATTTTTCAGTGAGGTCCCCCATCCCCCCAACTTTCAAAACGGGAAGGACAAACAACAAGTGGGGTAAAATGATGGGACCAATTTGAAATTTTAGGGGCCAAGCGAGAAAACCGTGGCATTGAGGCCATTTTGAAATATATATTATAGTAATTGCATTTAATAAGAATAAATGGCAAAGGAAAGATGTTGACTTTTGGTACTCGATCTGTAAAATAGGACCTTGATTTTTCTGTATCTGATATCTAAGGGAGCCGACTGGGGTTTAATTGTGTGAAAACTACAATAGAAAAACTCGTATGTAGCTTACAATTACTTCAGTATACATGCCAAGTTTATGGATGAGATTTTACTAAACATACAAAATTAGACAAACCATGTGTGCGCGCATTTTGCAAAATGGTTGCAGGGTGTGCCTCATGACGCAGCCTGCCATTATTTCATTGCGCCATTTTCGGAAGTAGGCGCATGGCGCGGCTTCTTCCCAGGGCCTGAATAGCCTGCATATCTCTGATCAAAAGCCACACAAACATACAAACAAACTTATATAGTAATTTTAAAATTGAGATATAATGTCTTTAAACCCCTGGTGGTTTAGAAACATACAACGCGTTGGCTTTAAATTTTCCAAGGTTTTTTTTTCACCTTTTTGTCTTTTTCCGCAAAACAAAGCCATCAAATTATAGAGACCAAAGTTTTTTATTTAACTAGTAGGATCTTATATTTCAAAGATATGATCAATTATTATTATTATTATTTTGATTTCTTCACCTCGATCTACCGTGTATACAAATGTACACAAATGCTTTTGTTTATATGACATCCCGAGTTGTCAGTTTACAAACTGTGTGATAAAATTTTATTCACTGCATGAAGAGGTAAACATGTGATAAATGATATATCTTACGAGAGATTAAATATACAGAGTTTAACCTATTTCTCTATATTAGCCAAACATCAGTACATGCAGTGTATGATATACATTTTGCATGTTTTGGTTTAATTGGCATTTCAAGTTAATTTTTTATACTTAGTTGCAAATTTAGATACAGACATTTATATAAATAAATGCTACATGTATATCGTAAAAAGGTTTTTTAAAGATCCAGTTTATCCGGGTCAAACGGGTTCTAGGAAGTTGGAACGAGCACATCTGTGAGATCAATTTTAATTACTTGACTATCTCTTTGATGTGCGTCCTAATACATTTTAATGCAAAGATCCGTAGCCTTATTAAATTAAAGGCAAAACAAAGGTCGATAAGCTCTACTTTTGTAAAATCTGGCAATTTGACTTACTTTGGCAAGAGTTAAAAGAAATCATTTGTCATGGTAGTACATATTGAAATATATTTTTAAAAATGCCTGTGCTATTTGATCTGGTTCTAACCTTGAAAATACAAGATCCTAATACATTCATCAGTTAAAAAAAATATATCGAACGAGGAACTCGTCTTTGAAGTTCACGAAAAGAATTGCATATTTTTGCTAATCTTTGTAAATAACCATCTGTAAAACCTTGAACATGTTTTTTGTTATACACAACTCTTACGCAAACACCGATTGTTACTAATATAAATGATGGAAACATAAGTGGGTACAAGAAAAATTGAGTAGCTACATATAAATGTATAAATACACCCCAGTGTTTGCAACATAGGAACCCCAATACTTTATGATTTCCGCATTGGAAGATGCAGAAATCAATTACGAAAACATCACGTGACCGACTTCTCTGTCATGTTCATCATATCAGCCTTGTTGTAATCCAGGTAGAGTAATTAAGCCGCTCTTCTTATCTTTCTACAAAGAATGTTAATCCCATCAGCTGATTTTTAATGTGGCGAACCGTTAGAAACAAAAAGAACATTGTTCTCTCTCTCTCATTAACAAGGTCATTACATATATAGGGGAACAAAGACAAAGGTTTTACTATGATCTGTATTCAACAAAGCCAGTACTTTTAAGGGAACATGAGCAGAGGTTTTACTGATATGAATGTTAAATATATTAATATTAATATCAATTAGGATTCTTGTAATTAACACCTATAAGGTTATTGCAGGGAGTTTTAATGATAAGTTTATTTGTAAATAAAATCATTAAAAAAAAAATTGTAACATGGAAGAATACACATCAGATTTTTCATTTAGTTAATGCCTTTTGTCATAGCATTTGTTCAAATTAATATACCCATGAATAAAAGAAAAATGAATAAATTTCACAACGCAGATGTGCGTTTTGCGAAAGAGTTTAATGTATTTCATTGTAATTTACATCTCTTCACTGTGTTTTTAAGCACAAATCAATATTATTTTCCCCCCAGAAACACATTCCCCAAACAACCCCCGTCCCAGCGTTCCATAAATTCACAATATGAACATTTTAATTCATTGAGGTTTTAACTTTTCTCATCGCCTTTTTAATTTACTTTGATGATTTATACAAAAGAACAAATCTCAATAAGGCTTATCTGTGGTCCCCGGTTACTCGACAAATTTCGAACATTCATTAACATTTTTAAAAATTAAATTTTATTATTAACTTATGTCTTTATTATTTGAATCATCATCTAAAAATGTCAAACAATAGATATAGGCAGCATACGAAGCTGCTCGTTGAAGGTAGGGTCCTTTGATTTTCATGAATATCAAAAGAAATCAGCGACAGGTACACACTTTAAAGCTTTCGTAAACACCGAGCACAGGTTTGTTCAGAGTCGAGTTTGAAATATAATGTGTATATTATATGTGTAAAGGTTGAGTGAAAATATCTTTGTTGAACAACCTTGTGCTCTATGTTTTCTAATTAAAAGTATTGCGATTTTGAATCTCTTCGCTGACTTCATTTACATGCGATTAACCTCTTTATGACCTGTTTAGAATCATAACAAGCCACGTGGATTTGTTTTGTTACGGGTAAATGCCCCCAGTAAACGTGCTAGTTCTCAGTTGAAACGTACTCAGTTTTATATCGATCAGCATGGACTTGTTTGGTTTATCTTGTTATAGCTTTTATTGCCAAAGTTTTGTTAATAGAAAATTGTATTTGAAGTTGATTGTGAATCTTGAACATATTATTCGTCTTTGGAAAAAAATATCATACCAAGATCTTCTTTTTATAGTATCTAATCTAAATGTCTCCGCCCATTTCCATGTAATAGAGAAACCGTAGTCTGATCGGGGGAAAATGTTCCGGCATTTTTTAGTAAGATAGGTGTTAAAAATAGGCTTGTATTTTTTGATATGTTTGATTATTCATTATAAATACGCAATGTTTTAATTAGAAATACTTCGTTATACACAATGAAAACAAACAAAATATCGTATGCTAATATTTAACCGGTAAACCAAGGGTGTAAAAAGGGACCACACTACTATACTTAAGTAGAATACTCCTTTGAGAAACCCCATTTCCCAGTATAACCCAAACAAATCGCTTATTTAAAGATAATTTAAAGCTTTCGCTCCTAATACATGCCTTGTTTTGATTTCAATATTTTCCACTAAATCAAAATCTGTTTTTCCTTTTTCCAGGCGCAAAATAATATGACGTACCATATATACTCGCATATATAAATCGATTGAATTTTTTCTACATTATTTTGAAAGAATCGATTGCAAATTACAGATTATTATACTTGTATCTACCTGTCTTTCAAATTATGTTTTGGGGAAGATCTTTGATAAACAACTGTAATAACAAAATATATACATTTGAAACAAAAATAAAATCATTAAAATCTGTAAGCATTTGTACTTAATGTAAATCTTCCCTTCCTGCAAAAAAAGAATCTTAAAAATCGTAAAAATGTGTCCCGGTATTTCGATCATCGTTGACAAAATACGTTTCATCGACCAAGTCGGACATACAAGTTTGGATCAAAATTTTACTCCAAAAACCGACTTATAAGCGATAGATGCATTACATTCTCTGATTATATTGAGCATGACCATGCACCTGTACATAATTTAGAATATGTCTGTATGTACGTTGTAGGTATGAAGGCTTTGTTCTGGTAGCCATGTATATTATGTACATCATTTTGATGTATTTTAACAAATCAATTGAACCCTTCATGGAGGGACTAATCAAGAAAATCAAAGCCCGGAAACACGCCAAAAAACATCGACACGAAGACCATAACTCAAACCAAACCGAGGCTGCTAAACCGCTGTATTATGAAAACAGCAAAGCAACGCCCAATGGTTCCCCCAACTCGAACGACGACGAAACAACATTTAGTGTTAGGAAAGATGAGGAAGACAGCAGTGTCAGCGAGGATAAAGAAAGCGATGAGGACGAAAAAGATTTCCACCCACCAGAAGGGCACAAAGATTGTAAGTCTAGAAACAGAGATAACTCTAATGTTTTCTTCTTCCTTTTCTTTCTTTAGGTATGAGAGTCTTATAATGTTCCTCATGTACATAGTGTACATCCTTCTGATGTATTTCAATAAGACGCTGGAGCAGTTCATCTATCATCTTTTGCAAATGCTCTCCGGAGGCAGAATTGAAGATCCTTTGCGTACTCATGCTCATCATAACGAAAGACAGGCGCTTTTGGAATCAGAAAAAGCCAATAGGTCAAGGTCGATTGAAGAAAGTAGTACCATTCCAAAGGAAGTTGAATCCTCTTTCAGTAGCCCTGACAATAGGTCGTATGAAAAAAGCGCCGATCACAAAGATTGTAAGATTTCCAAGCTATTTCTGGTTCCAGTCGTCTCTCTTACACTCCTCACACATGCGCATCAGAAATGCACGCCATTTTTATTCAAACGCGCATTTTCCCTACGCATAGCTTTATCTGAAATTCTACTTGCACTTTTACCCATAGTTACTTACAGTTAGGAGGCATCGTATGTTTTTTTTTTTTGTTTTGTTTTTTTTTTTTTGGTTTTGTTTTTTTGTTTTTTTTAAATAAGAAAAAACATTGTATTGGTAACATTGGCACTGCTTTATTTCAAGTCTCAATGTAATAACTTTAACTCCTAAATATTTTATTTATACCCATTTTCTTGCAACCTAAAATTTTCTTACGCACTGGCGAAGTTTTCGATAGTCTCAATTTAAGTCCAGCAAACCTAATTAATTAAGACTTTTAAATAAGGTGAAATGTTTTAGGAAGAATTAAAAGAATATGCTAGAAACACACAGTTAATAATATTTGAAATAGCAGCTTTAAAATATGAAGATACTGTCTGGAACTATGCGCATTCTTTTTTTTCTTTTCTTTTTGTTGGGGGAGGGGGGAGGTAGTAAATATTATACTTTTTTGAATTATTGAATCTGCAGCTCTCTGGTCGTCTATCCATTTTTTTTATCAATGAGCTACAGATCTTCAATCATATTCCAGCTACCAGAACATTGTGCAGCTCTCTATTCTGTGTTTGGTTATTTCACTTTAAGATTTTGCCTACCACGTAGAAAGGTAAAATAAATCTACATAATTATACAGTATTTCCTTACATTTCTGTAAATGCAACTTGCTTAAGTTAGAATATAGCAACCACTTGTCGTATAATTACCCTGAATTATATACAGTTAAACTTCGGTATCTCGAACACGGATACCTCGAATACCATGGATATGTTGGAGTGATTGGGAAGTCCTAACCAGGTACTTCTTAACTATTTTACCCTCGATATCTCGAACCCTCGAATATTTCAAAGTTTTTTCTCGGTCCCATTGAGTTTGAGATAAAGAGGTTTGACTGTATGTTTTTAATATTGAACCAATGAACAGAAATAAACCGAGTCTCGGAGTTAAATCTAACTATTTGTAAGTATCTCCTTAAAAATGTCTTCTGTTCTGCACACGATACGATTTTCTCACACTCCGCAACATCATGCGCGACTTCTCTCTCCAGCAATAATTGTTGCTAGATATTTTTCTTGACATCCCTATTTATAAAGATTCAAATACCATTGCTTGCAAAACCTTACCTAGATTAATATTTCTTGTTTGATTCGGTTAAAATAATCTTTTTTTCTCTGTCTCTTAGTCCTTCATCTTCAATATTTACCTTTTCAGCCAAAGAATACGAGTCTCCGTGGAAAATCCCGGACACTTTCCTAAAGCGCGTGTTTTGGGTGGCCATGATTCCAATGCACGCCTTATTCTTCATTTCAATTCCGGACTGTCGGCGGCCTGGTAAATGGCATAAGACTTACCCTTTGACTTTTGTGATGTCGATTGCATGGATCGCTGGACTGTCTTACGTCATGGTATGGATGGTAACCGTTGCGGGTAAGAAAAATAGGTTAAGCAGCCTCTATGTACACTCCACACTAAAGAGTTCCAAATTTATGGTACTTTCATGCAGTAAGAGTGACATGCCCTTTGAATTGAAAATGAATCAACTAAAATCATTCGATCGTGTAATGCACAGCCTGTAATCAATTCAAGTTAGTATTCTAAACATTATACTTGACCTAGTTGTAGTTAGTGTAATTGAATACGTTTTTATGTGTTTTACCCATTTACGCAAGTAAGCATCAGTTAATTCTTGTCTGTGCACATTTTTACAGGGAGGTACCTTATGTCTAAAATGAAACATATCAATTCAATATTTTCATTTTTATACGATATAACTTTCTCAAAGATCAATAAGCATTTTTTTTTCAGTAACTGCTATATACAGACGGACAAACAATATTGAAATTTTCAAACAGTAAAAATTTGTCTAACCTGCATGTACTCGTTAAAAATTAGATTGTTTTAATAAAGTGCATGCTCATTAAGCTTAAGTTAAAGACTCTCTGCGTAAGAAGCACATGTATTATATGTAAGAAGAATTTTTCTAAAGTTCTAAAGCATTTGCTTGGACTATTCGCTGGCTATATTACATGTATCTCTTACGGAAAAAAAATTATCCCATCAGAATTTGTAAAAACAATCATGTACAAGGATTTTTCGTTCCCGTCCGTTCGACTCCTTTTTTCGACACATTCGCTATAAAGTTTATCTGAGCTCTCATTTATTAATGCTAGGTCCATGTTACATTATTCAACACACAGTAGTTTGTAATGACGTAGTTTTTCACCTTTGACCTTGATACCAAATCGAATGTCAAATGCTCTCTTTGCAGCCATTAAGAGTCAGCAATTGTTTATATCATATTATTTTGAAAGTAATGATGATGCATGATTTGATATTTTATGGAAAAGCTGTGTTTGACTTCAATTTGGTGTCATTGACTCTATTTTAAGTTATATCTCGAAGATCAAAACAAAACATGATCGTGTTCAGCCCAGTCAAAACCAGGCCGTACTTTACAAAACAGTTGCTCTTGCTTGTGTGTTATAACCTTTGACCTTTGGTCAAATGTCATATTCAGAAGTTCAAGGCTATTGCGTTTTTGATATATCCTACTATAATATAATTAATATTATAATCGTTCATTGATGAGAACACTTCTATTCTAGTTAATAGACATATTACATTCAGAGAGATGGTGTACTGATTCTTAATTTATTAGCTATAAAAGAAAAGTTTTCGTGTGGTGCAGATCGATAAATGCATGAAGCCATATTGCTTCCTATTCAGTGCACTTTTCCACCAATCTTGGAATTAATTGTTTAACCGATCGATGCAGAACTCATTCAAGTAGTTACAAATTATTGATTGAACTTCACGCGGGTGCGGGTATAATAAAAAAAGGTAATAATTAATTACCAATATTGTTGATTTAATGATTTTTAACTTTTAACTTAACTTTGACATTAAGTAAATACGTTTTGACAATAGATACCCTTCAAGTTTAAAATCAAACTAAACTTTGTCTTGTCACAATTTAGATATGCATTTACTTGTCGAGAAAGTGTAATGTTTGAATTTTACACTGTAAACCTTGTTCTGCCTTTTAAAACAATACATGAGGAAAGAACGATTACTCTAAGTTCTTGTACAGACTTTTGAACGGGGATGGGGATCTTGATTATCCTCCTTTTAATTTAAAAATAAATAAGCCTGACAATCAGATCTTTGTAATTCATGTGAAAAATACCAGTACTGTTCACAGAAAAGAAAACACCGGTTTGCTGTCACATTTACAGCTTTCCACTTGTTATAGCTGGGGAACCCTATAGTTACCATGATCCGCATTCAAACAGGTATCAAAATAATCTAGCACCTCCGGAAGTTAACTACAGTACAAGACTAGTCTAACATTTCTGATAAAAACATAGGGCATCCGAGTATTTGATTAATGAATTTCAAATGATTGAAATTTTCTAAAGGCATTAGTAGTATTTTTTGTGTAGAAAAAGTCCTAATATTTCTTTCTATTGTTTGATTTAAGATTTTTTTCTCTTTTGACTACAGTATTTTCTGCATTCTTTTCTTAAGAGGCGCTACCCTCGCGGCTTCCGACTGACAGTAGATGTGGTCATATTATGACCCCGTCGAATACAACCTTAATATTACTTGATCAATGCATTATTATTGAGGTTTTCTTACAAATGAATCCAATAACAGACAGTTGACAAAAACAAACTTTGATGTAAAAAATTGTCAGGACATATTTTTATTCCGGGAACAAAACAAACCGGGAAAATGTTTTATTCATGTATTTTGTTTCAAGGTCAGACAACAAGTTCGTCAATAATATGTAGGCATAATTTTCCCAAGGAATTTGTAATTGAAGTATGTTTCCTCACAAAAAATGAGGTACATTACTAGGAGTTTGTGCAAGATACCAGAGGGTGAAATTTTCTATATAACCCTAGAGGATTTCAGTTGAATTGCTGATATACCAAATGAGTGTTTATATTTTTAGGACATTTTGAAAACGGTTTTGAAATAACAAGACAATAATAATTGAAAAGATTTTTGGTATTTAACAAAGAGAAAAAAAATTAGATATTCGAGGAACGCGTGTCTTCAAACCTCAAGTCAATTGGCATTTCTATATAGGTTTGCCTTTGTAGAATATTCGAAACTTGTGGGACTTTACTTGTTTTATTTATAACTGACATGGTACAAATTCTGAGAGAATCGATCTATGGGACTAACATATTATTTTTACAGGTGACACACTAGGGATTCTGTAGACGGTTATGACATCGAGTTTATTTTTGTAGGTGATGCACTAGAAATTCCGGAGACAGTTATGGGACTTACATTATTAGCAGCAGGTACAAGTGTACCAGACTGTCTTTCAAGTCTCTTTGTAGCCAGGGACGGTAAGTACTCAACGAGTATAGCTTTTCAAAAAGCTTGGCCGTCCTTAGCAACAACCTTAAAGTGTAAGAGGTTACATACACCTATCAGGCCGACTTATTTTTAAGTACTGCAGTTCTTGCTCTTGTACTTCTTCAACAGCTTTTTGCAGACATTAGCCCTACCATATAAACGAAGGAAAAAAAGAATAAACACACATTTCAATATTTGCATGCAGAAAAAGAATTTTCTGTTCATCATGAAAATACAGAAAAACTTTAAAATAGTTGCTATAAAAAATGAAAGTGTTAGTTTCATTTACTGCTATTTTCTTGTGGTTCGTTTTGTCAATTTTTTTTAAGATTGAAAATCTTGAAAAATTGTTAAGCCGTACGAAAATTACATCACCAGAAAATTATTTCCCTTGCCTAGCACAGCATTCAACCAATGAAATAATTGAAAATTTTCACATCATGCGTTTTCTACCAATCACAGAGGAGAGGATGTGTATAGTCCGAAGACTGTAAAATACTTCAACTCTGTATACCGTCTTCCAAGGAAGACGGTAATTATAACATCTCCATCGGTACTGCGGACTTTAAGATGTGTCTGACAATCAATCAAATGACGTACACCAAACATCTTAATTAATCTAGAAAACGCTTAAATATGCACAGGTTTAACTCAGTGAAAATTACGCGACTCTTCAGTGTAATTCAAAGTGTACAGCACGCGTCATTGATCATTGTTCTATATGACGTGAGCAAGATGTCTTTACCTACAGAAAGTTCTAAATTTTTAATTTACCGGTTGAGAAAAAAATACAAAACTGTAAATTCGTACAATGTATGTACTACCACTCGTAAATTCAAAATTTAGAGCATGACCGTAGATCAATGGCGTTTAAATCGTGTCTCTCATCACAATTTTGTACCACTTCTGTAATTCTATGCTTCAAAGTAATGTTTTGAATAATTATAGAAGAAAATATTTAAAGGAGAAAAGTTCCTTTAAAAATGAAGTTTCTATCAAATGTTATAAATCTAATATTTTAAGAACTAGGTAGATGCTGTTATATGTTCTTTGTTCAATAACTTGTTCAATAACAGGCATTTATTTTCTCTGATTTCAGGTTTGGGAGATATGGCAGTTTCCAACTCTATAGGGAGCAATGTATTTGACATTTTGATGTGTTTGGGTCTCCCATGGTTGTTAAAATCCCTCATCCTAGAAGATGGAGACCCCATCCCGATCAAAAGTGAAGGACTCACATACTCTGCCATCACGCTCTTATCCACAGTGGTATTTCTAATGATCGCCATGTTTGTGACAAGATGGCGACTAAACAAAAAGTTCGGTGTTGTTTGTTTGTTGGTATATGTTGTTGTGATCGTTTTTTCCTGTCTTTATGAACTTAATGTATTCGGAAATTTCAACATCACTGACTATTGTGAAAGGAAATGATTGTACACATAGATAGAAACGTCAAGTTAAATTTAAAAAAAAAAACAAAACACCAGTACTCCATCATTGCAAATTATTTTACATAGAGACTGTGTCAGATATATACAATACAGAAATAACTTGAAATGCTCTGTGTATTTAATTTTGTACTGCGAAAAATCATTTTAAAACATATAAAAAAAAAAGAATTAAACTTGTCCTCTTAAAAAATATTTTTCTTGATTGATACTCTTTAAATTGTCACCCTGGCAGACGACAGTTTGGGGAAACAAGAAATCTACCTAGTATCCCCTCTGAAGTTTGAAGGTCTCATTTCTTGTCCTGTTTGCCTGTCCGTAAAATCTCCGGAATTTGTTATTAACGAATTGTAATGGATATCAAGCTTGAATCAAGGAGGAATAAATTAAATTGAGAAGTGTATATATGAGGTGAAAATGTGCATTTTTTGCACCAAAACTAGTCACTTTATATTGCACCAGAACTGTCACTTTACATTATACCAGAACAAGTCACTATGAAAGAAGATACGAAATGTATCCAATCTTTTGTAAAGCAAAGTTGTTAGTAAAGTCGTTGGTAAAGACATCAGATTAACCGTTTAATTTTGAGTGCCCTGTTGCTGAAATCTTACTCCAGTCTTTCACATGTTTATAAAAAAAACCCCACATTTATAGCTATCTGGCATTATTTACTTTTAATACGGCAATATATCAACAAGTTTTCCTTAGTGAAATTCTGTATATGTACACAAAAATGTCAAATTAATTTAGAAAAGTAGAACAAGGAAAGAAAACATTGTGAAAACTGAATTAATATTAAATTAATATGGGTATCATAAATATAAAAGAGTAAATGAGAAAGGGAGCGGGGATGGGGTACGGGGGAGAAGAGAAACGTAATAGTAGAGGTCACAATGTAATGTGTATAAAAACACAGCAAAGCTATGTTTGTTTTAATAGTTTATTTTGAACATTATTTGCTTACGACTAGTATTAACGTTTATAATACTTCATAAAAGTGTTCCAATTTTCTTACATGCATTTACTACCTACTACAAATACCAAGTAACATTCCTATATATGTTAGTTTACGTGCCAAAGAGGTGTATATTGTTCTTGGGGTGAAATAAATTTTATAGTAAAAACAAAACAACCATCAAAATAATCTGAGAAGACGTATTGTTTTCAAAAAAGTTTATAACCCATAATTTTTAAAAGTAACCTAAACATGTCATAAATACCTAAAAGAGATTTTTGTTTCGTGTAACTTTTCATTTGACTTAAATTATTTGTATTGCCTTATACTATCCGTTCAAACATTGATGAACATTGCAAGATATGTATAATAGGATAATGATATTTGTTTTCTCATTAATTTTCTGAGAAAATGATGCAAATAAGACATATTTTGATTATTGTATGAAGTCTTATCCTGTCTTATTATCTGTATATTTTGTTAAACACATTTGTAAATGTAACAGTTATATTTTGTAAATGTATCAAAAATACTTGTTCGTGCTGTTGTTCAAAGCATGGAGAGATACAGTATACTCTGTTGTTTTGTAATGTACGATGTAAACATCAATATTTATTGACTTTGTTTTGAATTTCTATCGTTATAGACAGTACAGATAGTTGGTCCGAAAGACAGACATGTCTTCTGTTGATATTTTCAGGACATAATTAATATGTTATCTTTTGCCAAAATCTGTAATTTTGTTAAGATCTCAATTTTAAAAGCAATCCTAATTACAACATAAAAATGTTTCTGAATGAAAGATTTTTTGCACAACCTTTTTGTGGTGAAATTCACGCGTACGCAAAAAGCATACTTAAAAATTCTTAAAAACATAGGAACATACAAATTGCAAGCGCCTTCGGGCACTCTAGTTAAGGACAGTCTACTTTGTGCTTAAAAGAGTTATGGGTAGGGGTTCCTGAATGACGAAGATACTGTATTATTCAATTGTCATCATGAACTAAATGTTGGAACTTATTTTAGAGTATCATGAAAGGAAAAAAAAATATACATGTATACTTTTATTATTAATAAGAAATTTGAAAACTCGCAGCCCTTAGGAAGTTGTTAATGTTTGTATTGAAGAATTTTATTCCTGTGAGTAATATTGATTTAGGAGTGACAGACAAGAACTTAGGAAAATTGAAAATAAATTAGCTATTGCCAATCCTCCGTTAGCTAATAACAAGACGGTATCAGACCTTGTTATAACGGTATTATATCTCCATATAAGATGGTCTGTGGATTCTAATGACTCGAAGAGTGGCAAATGTGTATTTCAGTTGAAAGGATTGAGCCTATGAAACAATCCATCGCATAGACATGAATATTAGACAAAACATTGAAGAATATATGTCGTTTTATTTTTTGGTATGAATAATAGACAAAAATTGAAAAAATATATGTCGTTTTCTTGGGTATGAATAATAGACAAAGATATATCGTTCTCATGGATATAAATTATAAGAGACAAACGTTGTTTTCTTGCATATGAAGTATGGCGAAACATTGATAAATATATGCCGTTTTGTTGATGTAGTAATGCAGTTGTTATCCTCGATCTCTATTTATTGTTATGTGTTGATGAAATATTTTGATAGTCGATGAGAGATTGTATGTCCCAATTGTTATTTGATCCGCCACTATATTATGGGTGGATCTCCCTCTATGTTTACTTGTGATAGAGTGCCAAATGTGAACGTCTAGTTAGACCGTACATACAATGTAATATCTGATTTAATCAGATAAGCACTACTAGAATGAATAAAATAATTTGAAAATTTCAAATCTTTGTTTTATTTTCTGTTTAAGGACAAATAACACAAATTTTTATTTTCAGAAATCAGCAATATATTTATTAGATTTATGTTCAAATGGATAACTTAAATCATGTTTGCAAAAGTAATTGTGGAAATTTAGTAAGATTTTGAAATAATATCATAAAATGTATGTAAAAAATGTGTAGATTTAAGGACATTCTATACACTGCACACTAAAGAGTTCTAATTCCATGGGGTTTTTTTGCAGTTAGAGTGATATGCCCTTAAATCTAAAATGAAATAAATTGAAATCTACAGAGCCTCATTCAATTTGCAATCAATTCAGGCATTCTTATTTATTTAACATTTTATTAGGCCAAGATACATTAACTGATCAATTTATTTGCATGTACTTTCCCCATTTAATTAAGCAACAGTGATTTTGTTCATCAGTATTTGTTGTATTTTAACATCTTACCAGGGGATAAATAACAGTTACTCTCTGCTGGAAAAGGAATAGATAAAATCAATTCATGTATTTAAATACATTTATGCGATATAATTTTCTCAATGTTCAAAATTATTTATAACTAGTGTATAAAGGGTCGATAAATATAAATTGTCACAAAGTCACATATTTGAAGAAATCCTGTATCAAATAAAGATATCATAGAAATCCTATGAATTCTTTTAATTTTAGGAATCTATTCTTTGTGTCATATCTATATAAAATCAGTCAAAAATATATAATAATGTCAATCTAACAAAATTGATAATAAAATAACGAACAGTTATCAAGCTTAAACGTCCACTGAAACAATACAAATTTGGAGCAGAGCAAACACGGACCTCTAAAAACATCCAAATCGGGAACAAGAGTAAGCATTCTCTTTCGACCTGTCACAACACGCTGTGCTCCTTGTCATGATTGGGCAAACGGAAAAATCCATAGACAATTCAGCTTGAAAATTTGTATGAAAACGCCAGTCAACATTCGATTTAATGATAGATTGTCTTTGCTGATAATAATGTCATTGTATCGACCACAAATTTTGCGAAATGTGACTTTAAACGAGACTGTTGATATTTTTGTTCCATCAACTTATTTGTCGATAGCTTGCCTTGTTTTAGAAATTGTTCGTACATAAGGCATGCTCTTGCGTATCGAATCAACTAGGAGACATAAACTCCATATGCAGGTGAAAGGGATATTTTGCCACAGGGAAGTTGTCAATAAAAAGTTGAAGTCATCACGTTCATCATAAAGCTTTGTTGTTAGGTTTTAGTAAAATATCCAGATATGAAACAGAAGTGTCAGACTCTGTGGTACCTTTTATTTCGAGTTCAAAAGGATGTATTGAATCAACTAGGAATGAAAATGAGTATTGTTATTTGATAAAACATCGCAGATATATCTAAATGTTAAGTTGAAGGCCACAGCAAGCTTTCTTCGATTCAGGTAGAAGTTTCTGAATAAATTCTGCGTCATATGAATACATAAATAGTTCTGCTAATAACGGGGCGCAATTAATATCCATGGAAATTCCGACAGATTGTTGGAAGACCTGGTCTCCAAAAAGTACATGCATATTGTCAATCAGAATCTCAGGCATCTTTTTAATATCAACTTCGGGGGACTTAAAAGTAATTACATGTACAATCAGAATGTTTTTTAACAAAATAATTTTCAAAAGACCAATGACAAGGTAAGTAAATTTAGGAGTTCCATTTTTATTGAAAAAACATCTGTTAATAATGTAAAAAAGTCTAGAGTTTAATTTATCGTGGGGATTGTTCGTATAAAGTGTTGAAAAGTCGTACCATTTGATGTTATTGATTTTGGTAAAATTCTGTAATTTCAAATTTTCTTATATAGAGAATACGATTTTTAAGTATCCACATCTGAATTGCACCGTTTCTTGAATAAGTACAGAAGTTTGTCCTTCGCTGCTATTAATTCTATAGTGAGAAGAAAGAGGGTTGGTAGAACATTTACTCTACAAAAGAAACGTGTACCATAGCTTATAATTATAACTGTCTGTAATATAGGCACCTGTACCATAGCTTGTAGGCATTGCTGTCTGATAAAGGCACGTGACCTTAACTTGAACATGCAAATACAAGTAGAACTGTTGGACGGATGCACGTGATCCGCTACTTTTAAGTATCACTATCTGACATAGGCAAGTCTACCATGATTAGCTAGTAGTTTAACTGTCTGGCGTAGGCACGTTTACCATATCTTGTAGTTTGACCGTCTGACGTAGGCACATTTATCATACCTTGTAGTTTAACTGCCAGACGTAGGCACGTTTACCATACCTTGTAGTTTAACTGTCTGACGTAGGCACGTTTACCATATCTTTTAGTTTGACCGTCTGACGTAGGCACGTTTTCCATATCTTGTAGTTTGACTGTCTGACGTAGGCACGTTTACCATTTCTTGTAGTTTAACTGTCTGGAGTAGGCACGTTTACCAAAACTTGAAGTATAACTCCCTGACGTACATGTTTTGAACATTTTTATGGACAATATGTCAAAGGGATATTGGACATATATTCTAAAATCTTTGGTAGTCCTCTCCCCAAATGACGTACTTGTAGGCACGTGTAACATGGCTTATATAAAATTCTGACGGATGCACGTGTACATGTACATCAGCTAAGTAATACTAAGTAATACTGTCTGACGTGTCACGTGTAACATAACTTATATTAACTCTCTGATGTAGGCAGCACGTGTACCAAAGCTTTTACTATTATGTTCTACTTTGTGTTTGGTCGTACTTCTCTTTACGTTTGTACTTTATATTTGTACCCCATAATAGAAGAAGTTGATGCATGATGGAGAAGGTTTGATGTTGACAAAAATATTACGTTTCTGTCACATGAACTTGCATGACGTCGTTTTTTTTTTTTTTATAACAGTACATCCCCACCTCAGTATATCACAACGTGCACGTCACATCCCATCATCTCAAATGACGGTTAATGCCTTGCCATGGTATTCTTCTAAGCTCTCTCTCTCTCAGATCCTGATAGTTTACCTTTTCGGCGGCGTTTGAAAAAATATCGTGATATGTCATTCTCCACGGATTCAACAATGATATTGTGATATTAAAAGAGCTAATTAATGCACAAATTACGTAAGACTGTCTTATAGAAATAGCTTCATCACACGTCAATGTCTGATGAGATGCTTTTTACATCAATTAGTTCTTTTGGAAAAGTAAATATATTTCATTCCGCTAATTACATATAAGTAGTTATATAACTAATTACCTATAAGAGAAGAAAAGAATTTGGATTTCTTTATTACAAGGTGCAGGCTACGTACATGTCTGCATGGGTAATTGTACTGTAGAAGCAAGAATTTTCATTTCCTGGGTGACTCGACGGAATTTTATCTAATATTAGATATTTTATATCTAATACGCATGTGTATTGCGTATTATTTCTCCATAAGGTATGGCAAAAAAAGTAGAAAGAAATCTGTTATTCTGTTTGCTTCGTATAGGGCAAATAATATTAAGTTAAATTTTCAGAGACGCTGAACTATACCTTCGGCAAACATGGTAGAGAAAACATTGATCCGTTCCAAATCATTTCTTAGGTATACATAGAGAGGACGTGATGATATTGATAATTGATCTCATTTAGCAACTGGTCTTTCGTCAAATTAAGAGGTTATCCTTTAAGGAAAAATTGCAAACCATAATCCACATTAAACGTTATGTTGTATATCTTATATCGCTCTAATGCATGTTGAAAGGGAGGAATAAATGATGTCAATTTTTCTACATGTACGGAAATCTTAAACAAATATGCTATTAAATTATAATTTCGCAATATCAATGGCTAATTTTGTTAATTGCTATTATTGCAAGTTGTATTTTTTTAAAGACAATTGATATTATCGATAATACAAGTCCCTGTTGTCATTTAACTATTTTGAAGTTTGTGCCCTCACTACCTTGGAAATTCTAGATCCGCTCCTTTGCTACGGGATTCCTGCTGCGACATGCATGCATATGGACGATAAAGGAGAAAATGGTGGATTGAATATACTTTCAAAAAACATAGACTACTGAAAGACGGCGTCAAATTAATAATAATTTTATAAACTTCACAACTGTTGAAAATTATCACAGGGTTATGACATACTTATTTTTAAAACAAAATAAATTGAAAACAAAATAAATTGAAATTAAAAAAAAAAGAATAAGGAATTGTAAGACAGTTATTTTAATTCACTTTTTGGTTACATACATGTAACTTAGGGGCCTTATAGCATACTACGAATTCAACACGGTTGGAATAAATCCGACACTTCAGGAAATAAGTAAACAAACATTGAAACAGTCTAGCATACCCATTCAATGATTTTCAAAAGATTAAGATTTTCAAAAATACTTCACCGATGTCTTTTATTTGTAAAGAAATATCTTCAAACTATTTTCTTCAGTTGGATTAAGCGTATACAGGTGTTTTAAATATGACCAGTACAATTTCTGCACTCTTTCTTTGGCGTAGATTCAAATGAGGTGCTATCCGTTCGGTTTCCGTTTGAGAGCTCGACTCACTGTAAACTTACAGACAAGGTCATGTGTCTACGTCTAAAACGAATTCTTTTATTGGACTTTTGCGAGAAGCGCTGACTTTTACAGCTGACAGCTTACTTTGACATTTAAACCTGTTATGTACGGAGGTACGGAATTGATAAATAGATAAGAAAACATTAATAGTGGTAATAGATTAGGCATGGTGTAAGGGTCGCTTAAATGATTTACCTGTATACAAACAACTCAAGAGATGATGGAAGACAGAATAACATTACTCAAAATACCTTATTGGTAAGGGGTAGTATCTCCTTTCAATCTCATTTGCTGAAGAAATTAAATAAGGAAGGAAGGAAAACATTTCGAAAGGAAAACTTGACAGGAATTGGTCAAGGTGGAAAGGGAGGGGGTAGGGGATAGGGTGGTTACAGTTCCCTCCTTAGACAACGTAAAATGTGCTTTGAAACTGCCCATTATTACCTTTTAATTAATGTTCATCTAAATATTTATATCGCAAAAGAGCTTCCGTATATTGTCCTAGTGTAAAAGTAAGCCGTCGACTGTAAAAGTCAGCCCTTATCGCAAAAGTCCATTACGATACCTATAAGTACTGACAGACATATCAACTCCGACGATTTAATATGCTCGTAAAATAACTTTAGTAATGTTGTGTTATTGCCATGACATCCCAAATGCCATAAAATTTCAGTCGTATCTAGTATTTGTTTTAAATTTCCTACCACAAGATAAATTACTAGGATTGCACAGTCATATTATCAGATTTTAATCTATTTCATTTTTTATTTGAACCTTTCCAGTGGTGAATACTGTACAAGTATTTGAATACATTATGACTACCAGTATTATGATATCTAACTCCAACATGGCAGTTTGTAAAACTAATATCCATTTTCCAATTATCGTTTCAAGATCTTAAAATTGGATACATAACTATCACTGATTCATACAATGTCATGTACTTGAAAACAAAAGTAAGACTTTATACACTTATAATCTTGTACCAGAAGGGAACATATGCCCTTCACGCCCTCCCTTGCCACTGAATTGGGAAGAAAAGAAAATTAGGCACTATTCAGACCAGACATCTGCCAACGGAAGTTCTGAAAGATTCGAAACTCTGAAAATATCCTTTAAAACGGATAATTTTTCCGTCGCACAATAGCCAACTTGCATCACAAAGGAGAACCATGCAACTAAAAATGCTAAATAAATAATTAAAGTTACATTGTACATGTAGTGAGTATTTATTTCTTAGACAAATTTAATGGTTATCAAGCATCTGTCAGGCTGCAACAAAAATGGCGATTTCTTTGATGATTATCCACCAGCTCTGTGATTCTGTTAAAATGATACTCACACAATGAATCTTAAAAGGTCCGAGAGTTGACGTCAAATTCCCCACTTTAATATCCCCATCCTCAAAGTATCCTAAAAATATATCATTTGTACACTTAGGTTGAGACGAGGACACACTCACTAAACTTAGGCTGGCCTGTAATTTACCGTGTTCGATTTTGTCTTCTGGGTGTTCACGTGAACCGGTGTCTATAATTATACTGTCTACTCTCTGGGGTTCATCAAACACGACTATTAACCAGTCATTTGTTTTCCCATTGCCTTTACTCCAGAAGTAACCTGGTTCTCTGCTGTACGCCATCTCTGGACTGAAGGATGGTTCTATATCCATGTTTGTATATATTTTTGCGGGAGGGTTGTCTCCCTTATATGATTTGTCTAAATTGTCAAAGTATCTGTCTTTTAAAGGCTGAATTTTTCCGGGAAGTGATGATCGAATTCCAACGTGCTGGAATATTGTAGGTCGACGAATGTATCGAGTAAATTGTAACATCTGAAGGTTAAAATATAGAAAAGTGAAGTCACAGGGTTGTTCTTCATAAAACAATAGCACCATTTTTGCAAGTTTTTCAAGGTCGTAAGAATGATAGAGTTTGCCTATAAACCCAAGTTCTGAAAATTCTAAACATGTCCATGAAGTTGTGAATTCTGAAACATAATCTTTGATTACTTGAAGATATCCTGGAACTGTGAATATATCGTCCTCCATTTGGATGTAATAGGTTGACAGGTTTTGACTATATAGGAATATAAAAGCATAATCAACATTTTGTTTCGATCTCCATTTCCTCTTATTATCATTATCATTGTAAGTATGTTTTAGATTATCTAATGGAGGATAAAACGATTTCCAGGCGCGGATCACAACAAGAGTCCCGGAGGTGATGAGGTCTGAATATGATTCGTAAATCCTCCTGCTAATGTCTGTTGTCCAAGTTTCATTAAAATCTGCAAGGAAAATCACAATGTAGATTTCACTGAGTTCCCCTGTCCTCGTGAAGTTCACTATGGATTTGATGGTTTTCATTATATACTCGTCGCCCACCCTTCTAACTGTTGGAATGCCTATCGTCAAATATCCTGAAACAATGAATTATCAGAATTTAGTACCTTATTTTTATGAAAGTGGCATCCGTTAATAAAGAGATAAATACAAGGACATTAATGATACACTAACACATACAGAACATCGACATTATGACGATGATAGGACTGTTACAAGGCTTTGTTATATATATATGTACGAGCAATCGAATGATAGAGTTTAAACAAGAAATCGGGATTTACGTAGGTACATGGGCTCTTCTTTTCATATCCGAGATTTTCTATACATGTTTGATGTACCGAAGTTGAATATTGATTGTAACAGTTAGCATAAGTTATGATTTTATTTTTGCTTATTATCAATATTTAATCTTACTTTTCTGCTCTGGGACTAGGTGGAATATAGTAGCTTCTTTTCGCCATGCAGAATGAAGTTTTGTCAAATCTGAAGATGGCTGTAACATTTGAAATGTAATGTTTTGTGTTAATATGTGTTATATGAAATAGATTACGTCAATAACTCACTTTATCAAGGATCGACACACTAAATCAGTCACTTATTCATACACTCATTGAACCAGTAACTCACTCAAACTCTTTCTCAATGACGTAATCACTCATTCATTATACACTTATCAAACTATAACTCACGTCTTTCACTAACAAACGCATATATTTATTGATTAATAACTCACACATATTACTCTATCACTGACTCAGTCACAAACTAATTCACACATTACTCGCTCAATCCTTATTCACAGTAATTCAATAAAACTTTCTCTCATTCGAACACTCCCACACTATATAATTCACTGACGATAAAAAACACAAACTCTCTCAATGACTCTTCCCTCACCTATATACTCATTAATTTTTAACTCTTTTACACACCCTTTCTCACTGACTCACTCACACGCACAGAGCATTCTCTGACTGACCTTAAACTGATCAGTAAAATGCATATTCTCTGACTGAATCAGACAGACTCCCTCACTGACTCACTGATATTCAACACTCAGTAACCAACTCACACTCACTCACTAACATAGTGCCTCACTCAGACACAAACTCATACTCATTGACTCAATAACATATTCATAATCCCCCGACTACTTAATAACTCACTTGCTGGCTCAGTTACCCACTCGACTCAATAACTCAATATTTCTCATTTTGACTCACCCGATTATTTTGTTTATGATTCACCAATTACTCATTTACTGTCTCAATAATTCACTCATACTCAGTAATTCAATCTTTCAATCACTGACCAAGTCACTCACTGACTCAGCAAACCATTCATACTCACTCATTGACACATTCATTCACTCACTGACTCAGTAGAACTCTCATTCACTCACTGACTCAATAACTCATTCACTCACTGACTCGGTAACTCACTCACTCACTGACTCAGTAACCCTCTCATTCACTAACTGACTCAGTAACCCTCTCATTCACTCACTGACTCGGTAATCTCATTCATTCACTCAGTAAACCTCCCATTCACTTACCGACTCAGTAACTCACTCACTCATTCACTCAGTAATCATCTCATTCACCCATTGTCTCAGTAACCTCTCATTCACTCACCCAGTAACCACTCTCTGTTACCCATTTATATTCATTCATTGACTTAATCATTTACTCACTGACTCAGTAACCATCTAAATCACTCACTGACTCAGTAACCCTCTCATTCACTCACTGACTCAGTAACATCTCATTCACTCAATGACTCAGTATCCCACATATACACTCAGTTACCCATTCATACCCACTCATTGACTCAATCATTTAATCAAACACTTACTCATTTACTCAATCAATTTCTCACTGGCTAACCTTTCACCAGGCCAGTTGGAACGGGGGGAATGGATGCCCCAAACAATAATTTTGCAAAGATATTCTATTCAATAGTAAATATAAACCTAATTTATGTTTCTTAGTTCTCCTGCCAAACGACTGAGCTTGTTTTTTGTTAAAAGCAGGCAAAAACAAATAACATCATGTTGAAGTGAAATATGTCATTTATTAAAGTAAATGACGAAAGAAGTAAAACACGGTTAACAAAATGGGGGTCAGAAAAGGGGACTCAAACATCTTAGGCAAAATACTGCACAATCTGACCCCCAGCACCATAATGACATTGTAACATGGTGTACATAGGAAAAAAGGGGAGTGAACCAGACTAGAATAAGAATTCAAACCCTGTAATCTTTCACAAGGAACAGTATACATGTATTTCAAGTTGACACCCTTATAAACATCATAAGATTCCAATTACTACTGCAGGGTGTGCCTCCTCAATGATAACGTCTGATAACCTTTATATTGGCTTGTCATATATTCTTTGTTCGGTAGTGTCTCTCCTCCCAAACTGATATTGTTTACTTGCCCTCCCACCCCCAACTAAAATTGCTTCCTATGAGCCTATTTACTGATCTAATTGAAGAAAAATTCGGTCACTAATTACATTGTAAATAGTTAGTGAACTGGTGTATCGTAGTGACGCTATATCATTAACAATAGAAGTGTTTTTAGAGTCCCCAGTTTAACCTGATAATAATTTAAAACACTCAAATGAAGAATCCTCAGATGATAAGAAAAATTCTCTGCAACTTTTGGCAAAAAACTCTAACAATAACACTGCTGCTCCAGAATCAGAATAAGACAATTTTATTATTTAAAGTTGGAATTTTGAAAAAATAAAATTATAAACTCTATAGAGCTTTTGACCGACCCCGCCCCCCCCCCCTCCAAAAAAAGGAGTCACACAATAAGGAATAAAACTCTAAATGACTTTATTAAGTGTGTAGAATCTTTTAATATGAAGAAGATCCTCGATTTATTTATCAAAATGTGTTTTGTAACAAAAGCAGAAAATTTTATCTCGAATAGACTTTCAGCTGAATTGGTCCAAAAATTTAGGTTATCTAATACATGCATGTAGGTAATAAATGTCGGTCAATTAAACAAACCTCATCACATAAATGTATATATTGACACAGTGAACTTTTACCTTATTAAGATAATCCCTGTATGACACTAGGTTGTTAAACTTTTGTTGATATCCGGGGTCTGTTATCTTTTCCCTATTTTCTCTTGAACATTTGTAAACAGCATCTACAGATATAATTATGTATATAACATAAAAATAACCTTTGATTTTATATAATTACACACAGACACACAAACAAAATAAGTCATAAAGCCAGTAGATATAACGGGAGTAACATTCTTGTATTTAAAATACGCCTTTATGTTAACTGTGTGTGTGCTCGGGGAGGGGGAGGAGGGGGGATGAGTGGGACACAAGGTGAAGGATTCTTAATATTTTTTTTAAAAAAGAATAATGAAGACCTCTTCCACCCCTCTGAACCCGTGTTTCTTTTAAATTTCTTTTCTTTTGCTTTATGCTTACACATTTTTTCCCTAAAAAATACGCAATATATCCCCTTATTCTACTGTCCTTAGTCAACAATAGCTAGATTGGCCACAGTGGTCACATGCGTAACGTTGGCTTTAAAAGAAAAACAAGATGTGTTTGTGAAACACTGATCCCCCCCCCCCCCCCCCGTATGGCAGCTCATGGCGAAGGTTAACGTTTCTCAAATGCATGTTAAACTCCAAGGTCAAGAGATCAAAAATGTTGTTACCCAAAGGAAGGACTTGTGTCAATGGAAAAATATGAAAGCCCAAGCACCAACCATTCAAAAGTTATAGTCAAAGATAATGTTTTCTAAAAGAGGGTCAAACTGCAAGGTCAAGGTCAAAGGGTCAAAATTAATGCTACATAGATGAAGGCCTTGTAATAAGAAATACACATGCAAAAATAAAAGTCCTAGCACATACTGTTCAAAAGTTATGGCGAAGGTTAAAATTTTTCAAAAGTGGGTCAAACACCAAAGACGAGGCCAAAGGTCAAAATTGTTGGAATCCAAAGGAAGGTCTTGTCAAAAATAATTTACCTGTGAAACTTGAAAGCCCTTGTACAAACTGTTCAAAAGTTATGGTCAAGATAAATGATTTTAAGAGTGGGTCTAACTATAAGGTCAAGGTCAAACGGTCAAAAATATTTACACCCATGGAGAGGTCTTGTCAAGATAAATATACATGTGAGATATGAAAGCCCTAGCACCAACTGTTCAAAAGTTATGGTGACGTCAAGCTTAAAGTTGGGTAAATTTTTGCAAAAGTGGGTCAAACTCCAAGATCAAGTTCAAGAGGTCAGATATGTTGGTACCAAAAGGAAGGTATTGTCACAAGGAATACACATCTGAAATAAAGCCATAGCTCCAACCAATCTCAAGTTATGGGCAATGTTAAAGTTTTTGCGGTCAAACAGATAAACAGACAGACAGACGGACGGACAGGGCAAAAAATATATACCCCCGATTCTTCGATTAAAGGGGCATAAAAATTAAGATTTTTTTCATATGTATTCCAAAGTAAGACTTTTGGTCCTCTAATTTGACCTACCCGCGGAACTTGATTTGATCTTTGAATCTGTACTTCCTGGGGATGCATATTATACATGTATGATTTATCATCACCTTGCTGCTCTTGAGAAGAAAATTAAAAGATTTTTACCTATAACACTGTATTTTCCCATGTAATTCTTTGATTGTTTATTGTGGCCCAGCCTTACCCACGAGGACCATGATTTCAACAAAGATTTGTCTCCATGTCAAAAAACTTTCAGTGACATTAGTTTCATCATTCCAGAGTGAGATGTTCTTGATAAGAGGATGCCTTACTTGTGAAACCTTTCAATAAATTACATGTATAAATTCTTAATCCCCTTCAATAAAGGATTTTCGTGAAAAGTTTGATTATAAAATTTGCCCGGTGGTTTTAAAGAAATTAAAAAAGTGAAAAAGTTAGCAACAACAATGGGCCCACACAAAAACAAAGTAACCATAAAATCATGCTTTTTAAAAAACGTCACAGATTTCAAAGTACTAATGCATTTGAATTTATAACCACTTAATCGTTCATATTATATTATTGAGTAAAAAATTTTGGCCACTGTAAGTCGCACAATAATATCAGATCCATGTAACTTTATAAATGACGTTTGGACTTTAATAACAATGAAAATAGGAATTATAAAAATCAAACAAACAAACAATCAAAAGCAAAAATAAATAAATAAATAAATAAATAAATAAATAAATAAATAAAATGAAATAAAATAAATAAATTAATTAAAACCTAGAGTATCTGAGCGAGCCCCAAAATAATAACCCTGATGCAGTTTTTATTGTGCTCATATACATTTTTATTGTGCTCATATGTACATGTATGTACATTTTTTTATTTGACCCTAAACTTGCTAGGGGTTAGAAAATGACACATCCTTTGGTCATAGTTAATCTTTGAGTGAATGATCCAATTCAATGTTTCTCTATTTAAAACATTTTGGAACAAACATTAATTTCACACTTTTTCTGCAAGTGACCTTGAATTTGCCACTATAACCTTGGATAAATTTTGACATAATTATGCTCACAAATAGTCTTTGCTTGTAGAGTTACCACTTCTAATATTATCTATTAAAAAGTAATGCACTGGCAAAAAAAGTTCTGTTTTACTTTTTTCTTTTAGTTACCTTGACTTTACTGTAATAACCTTGAATTTGCAACATGACCTGGGTCAGGTCTCGACTACCTTTAAGTCATTAGCAATCTTTGAAGTATCTTCCAATCAGCGTCCACTTGAAAGTTATAGACCAGAAACAAATTATATATTTTTTTCTGCAAGTGACCTTGAAATTGTTGGAATGTCCTTGGGTCAGGGACAATACATACTTCAGATCGCATGCCATGTCTGTGACAAGTATGAGCGTCTGTTTATCATTACAATATATGGTCAGGACAGAAATTTAAACATTTTTTTCTGAAAGTGACCTTCGTCTTGATCAAATGTCATCAAAGTCATGACACACCTTCAGGTCATAAGCAATCTTGTTGAAAACTGGACATGAATTTTATACTTCTTTTGCCAGTGACCTTGAACTTGTCAGAATGACCTTTCGTCAAGATCATGAAATATCTTTAGGTCATAAACAATCTTTGTACCACATATGAGCTTCAAAGATTTTCTGTTGCAAAGTTATAGCCCTGACACAATTGCATGGCCAGACAGCCAGACGGACAAGGTAATTACTATATAAACATCACACACCCCCCCCCCAAAAAAAAAAAAACTTTGTTTGTGAGGGGTATATAAAAAGACATTTGTTTTGATCAAGTTCCTAGCTCACTTCACAGAAAGGTATGCTGGTTTTCTTCCTTATTTAGGAGGCAAATGTTAAGGTAGTATGAGATACCTTCATGTTATGACGTACTTCCGTTAGAAGTATTGTTTTGATTTGATTGGGCGCTTATTATCGGGTCAAATTAAAAGAACTATCTGAGGCTATCTTAATGCACGTTTTCACATGTTGGCATTTTATTCAAAATAGACAAAAATTTGCAAGTCTGTAACTATTAATATATTTTACTATGTAGGAGAAACTTCATCTGGTATCCCATACCACCTTAATTACTTTCAAATTAATTTTTTTCACAAGATTTGTAAACGAATAAAAATATCACAACTTTATGGATTTGTCTTTGACAAAACGGTATATGTTAAAAATGTTGCTGGTTATACAATTTTAGCCACTCAGTATTTCCATACATCATATACAGTTAGTGTATGTTACATGTAATGTCGGACAGTTAATATCGGACATCATATGTCACATCTGGTAGGTTAAGGAAAGGATTTCAATATGGTTCAATCAAACGTACTTTTAAAGATGGCCAGAACTAACAAGTTGTAGCAGAAATATGCTGAAAACAGATCTTACACCAGCGGGTTTTATTAAAATTTATGCATGACTGTTCCTTTATTGCCACACCATGCTGTAGTATTCATATTTCTTAAGTAATCCATTTTAATACAAAAATTCGTATTTGCTGATGGCATAAAATACTGTGATTTATTTTTGAATGCAGTAAAAACATATCTGTAATATTAAGAGGGATGATAACACATTGGTTCAAAAACTCATGACATTACTTCAACTTTTCTATCGTCAACTTCCCTTACTTAAGTAGCAATATACCGTTATCACCTGCATATTGGGTTTATGTCTTCCAGTTGATTCGATATGCAAGAGCATGTTCCACGTACAAACAATTTCTAAAATGAGACAAGCTTTTGACGGAAAAAGTTGATGAAACAAGAATATTAACATTCTCGTTTAAAGACGATCATAACACAATCTATCATGAATTAAATCGGATGCTGACTGACGTTTTTCATACTAATTGTTAGGCCTTCTAAGGATTTTCCCATTTTCCAGATCAAGACAAGGAGATACGGGGGGTGTGACCGGTCGGAAGGGGATGCTTACTCCTCCATATCACCTGATCCCACCTCTGGTGTTTTTAGAGATCCTTGATTGCTCTGCTCCTGATATTTATTTTACTATGGACTTTTGACCTTGATTACTGTTCGTTATCTCTGTATTTGATATTTGGTACACTATACAAAACATATTTCCAGGAGGGGGTTGGGGGTGGGGGTTGGAACGTGAATGGAGAATGCGTAATATTTCACAGAAATGGTTCGGCTTTCGATAGGTTCTTCATCCACAGAATCTAATAAACTATATTCTTACAAATTGTCAAGGACATCTTTTACCCAAAACATTACCGTATCACCAACATTCTAGCACAAACAAAAAGAATCAAGAAATTTTGCCAATACAAGTAATATCATACATGTATGACATCCCGAACTGATCCTCGCGGTGCAAATCCAAGTCATCTGAGGACAAAATTGAACAATAACAATATGCCCCCGACCTAGTTTTGGGTGATGTACACATTCCATTATAAGTACATTCAGTTATGCACAGCTTAATTGATATTACCAAGAATTACTAAGTGTTGATAATTAAATGAAAATATTTTCTTTTGATTTGTTTTCCCAAACATTTACATAAAACCATTACTCGTGTATGTATGTGTACAGCATTGATTTCTCTTAGTACAGGTACATATGAATACATTTTCTTCACGGAGTATTACTACAAGGTAATTCGTAAAAAAAAGTTTAATTTCCAGTGCGTAATTATACATAAAAATAAATATATGTAAATTTAAAAAGCAACTACAAAAAAAATAAATAAATAAATTTGAAAAAAACAAACAAAAAAATTTTAGTTTTAAAAAGGGAAGTTTAAATGTTTTATACAAAATAAAGACATTCCAAATGCTATTATAATAAAAGTCTGATTTCAAACGTCCCAGGATCATGAACATCTCAAGCTTAAGTCAAAATCTTATCTTGTATTAAAATGTTATAGGAGTCATTGAGCAAACAAAAGTTAAAATATTTTTCAATATTGCTTCACAAAAGTGTTGTTATATGCATATTTAGAGATTAGTTCAATAATAAATCAACATTTTACAACCGATTGTAAATTTGACTAAAGTCTTAGTCTTTCATTGTTAGTTTCATGATCCTGCTGGCCAGATCACATTAAAGTATTTGCAATACAAAGTCAATATTGGTACTCGTGTGTTTAAGCTCTTTATCACTGTTTATTTTTTTTTCTGTTACTTTAAAATCAAAGAAAATTAAGTTTAAAATTGGAAGCATTTAAAATAATACTTACAGGAATTGCTGTGAAGAAGAACCAATATTTGGGTAATGAAAGTAAAAACGGAAAGTACACAAATAACGCTTGTTAGTGGTATTCTGTAAGACTTCATGGCCCGCGCACCTTATCCTTTTTACGCCTCATCTGTGCTGAATAACACCTCCGCTTTCTTCACGAAGATGTTTCCACGTACCAACAGCTGTCCGGAGGACAATAGCTTTTCTTCAAGTCTCTCTCTGCTATTGTCATGGCTGTGTTTACAGATGATGAGAGAAGTTATACAGATTTACATGTGTACATACGTTTGTCCGTTACTCAAATAAAAGCACGACCATGAAATCTTTTGGATAAATTGTTTTAATACCATGAATGGAGATATAGTCACTCAAATAACAGCACAGTCGTGAATCCTTGAATAACTTAATGCTCATGCATGCAGTCACTCTCCGTGCATCTCTCGACCACTTTGAGGGACTAAGTTGCAGACTTGCTTAATCACATTTTAATTAATGATCAGATGCAGAGCTCGAAGCTGTATGGTTTATATTCATGCTCAGGTTTCACCTTATTCTACCTTTCCACTGAGGATTTTTTTCTATGAATAATTCATTTCATTGATATTTTTACACTATTCATCATTCAAGTTTTATACCTGTTATTTGCGTAACTCTAAAAATAAAGTGAGTAAAAAAAATATTTCGTCATAAAATCGAAGATAAACTGTGCAGTAGGGATTTAATCAATTAGACTGCGTGAATTTCGAAAAAAAATCCTTATCATAAAATTTTCCCTCGAAGTAAACTGCCAAAATTAAAACCACTACACATGAGTCAAAAGGTCAAAAGTCAAGGCATGAAAATTTGTTGAGAACCCTAGACCTTAGTTTGACGAACATCAAACTTGGTACATCGGTTCCTCTTAACGATTAGATTGAATCTAGCTGCGGTCACAAGAACAACGGCCAAGATTAATATGGACATAGGAATATACTAACCACTCAATATCTTAACCCTTTGCTCAACAGGCATCAAAATTGATACACTGGTTCTCCCTAAGGAGTAGATGGCCCCTATTGATTTTGCTGTCACATAGTCAAGCATCAAAACAACACAGATACTGTATGTATAGGAAGACGAGATATTTTCATTATAATTATACTTGCTTTACATTCCTAAGATTCGGTACACTGGTGCCCTCCTTGAAGGAAATTACTCCCAATATTAACTGAACTCTTAATGATACTGAGGTGGTCTGATGGAGATCAAACTTAGTATTATAGGTTTGCCCCTAATAGTTAATGGCTATTGTTTTCACTATCATCATGGACATACTGAATTTAAAGTTGTTTCCTATTTAATATTGCTCCCTATCTTAATACTGGGGGCATATATGTTTCTCGAACATTTCTTGTTTCACTCATATTGTGGAATTAGTTTTGGGAGCAAACTGAAATCTAAATGATAGTTTACCATTGAAATATTCCCTAATACATGTCAAATGAAAAGGGTAAAGATGACAAAGATGAAATTTTAAAATCTATGAACTTGACCAATGAAAGTTCAATCATTCTCAGATATCTTTTAAGTATCAATATACAATAGAAATTTAAAATTGTGCTACATTGTATTAGTTCAATGTTATTGAACAAATGATGTCTTTTAAAATGGGTGGTTACAGCATAGTTTCTTCTATGTTGTGCAAAGAAGTTGGATATTTAATCCTCGCTTCTAGCTTCATTTAGTGGGATTTATTGTTCTATTTTAGAAATAATCCCATTTTGCAACAGCTAAGGGATTTTTCCCCATATGCGATAAATTATCCCACAGTCTTATTTCTCCCAGGGGATTTTGATGGGATATAAGGTGGGATGAAACCCCCCACTATTCTCCTACGTTTTTTAGAGTTGGGGGAACTTTGTAAGAAAACTACTACATTGAGCAAGATAAGGTTGACATGATGTGATCATGATTAAAAAAAATCCGATCAAAGTCCTTGAAAATATTTAGATAATGTCTTTAGAGAGGTAGCTGCAGATCTGTAGCTCGTTGGTCTGAAAAAAATTGGGATGGACGACCAGAGAGCTACAGTGCCACCCACAGAAAATGTGTATATTTATTGCACACAAAAAGTGCACTGTTACTTGATTTATTTCTACGTTTATTTAAAAAAAAATTACTAACCGTGTGTTCCTAACATATTCTTTAACTACTTCCACAACAAGACTGCATGAAGCGCCTTGGACCGAAATATCTTACCACCCAAAATGGCAGTATAAATAGGCGAAATTTTCGATGGTCTCAATTTCAGGCCCAGGAGGGCTATTAACAACGGTTTGGGGGAATGTTTTGCTGTGGGAATAGTAAAAGAATATGCTAGGAACACACGGATAGTAATATTTTGAGATGGCATCTTAAATATACCGAGAATTAAATCGAAAAACAGCGCACTTTTTGTGCGCAATAAATATACATTTTTTTTCAATGGGTGGCACTGTAGCTCTCCTGTCGTCCATCCAAATTCTTTTCAGAACAGCGAGCTACAGACCTGCAGCTAGTGGAAAGGGTAGTTGAAAGTCCGGACTTTATCATGTCCGGACTTAAATGTCGCAATGTTTATTGTAAATTGAAAAGGCGATCGTAACTATTCGCAAAATGATAATTCATCTGTATTTTATATTAAAGAAATGTTTTCTCCTGCACCTGTAAATCGGGGGAAAAACTCTGTTTACTTGTAATGAACGCTAAATTTTAATCATAAAACATGATAAATATATGTACACCAATTCTGTCGGTGCCCTTTCCTTCGTTAATAATATACAAGTACTTTCAAACCAAAAAGGCTGTCGCAATTTTCACTACTTTTGCGTCTATACATGTAGCAATACACTGTTAACTGAAATACATTCTAAAGTCTCTGGTTTTATCCTATAAGTACAACCGGAAGTTTATGTATTTCATGTAAATCTTAAAATGTGTTGAAACAATTTTCGAAGAATAAGTGAGTGATTTACAATAAAGAGCTCCACGAATGACGTCTGGAACGTTTAATTAGAAAAGAAAAAAGTATCTCAAAGCGAACGATGTTTTGTTAAAGAAGGTTTAATGATTAATAAGTTAATAAAATACGTGTTTGAAGTGGGGGTGTATGAAATTCAGTTAGATACCTACATATGTAGCTTGAGGTAAAAAAAAAAAAAGTAGGTGGTGCACTGTATACGAAGCAAGTTTCTGTGCCATTTAATTGTGCTACAACAAAAAGTGTGTGTGTGTGGGGGGGGGGGGGGGGGCAACCAGCCTTTCAATGAACATTTTCAATAGAAAAGTGTTATGTGTGGGAAAAAAAGTGGGGGAGGACCCCCCCCCCCCCCCGATACATGCAATCTCCTTGTTTTTATCAACCCTTTGTTACACAATACAGAACCCTTATGTGTACACAACAATACTAGAACTGAAACAGACCATATGCCATTAATAAACGCGATAACTCATACATCAGTAATTTAATGTTGATCGTTTATTACTCCTGAGTTACCTTTCCTTAAAACACAAAATATTGTATAAATTAATTATTGATGATTTAATTTTTAATAATTTTATTATCTATATGACTCTTTATGCTCTACTTTCAGACTGTCCAAAAAAATACGGCGAATTTTAGGGACAAAATTAAGAAATTTTAGGGCAAATGTAGGGCTAAATTAGGAATGTAATAACTAAAATTAGGACAGTTTTAGACATTTAAATGAACTTACCTTCGCAAATCTGACAAGCTCTCTTATCAACCAGAAATGTTTGAGAAATGAGAAACATAAAAATTATATACCCCCTGTGTGGCAATAAAAAGGGAACAATTTAATTTTTAGATTTAGAATGTCTGTAATATAGATAGTGAAAACAGTTGGTCACCTACTAGTCAGAGGCAGTACATGCACTCATTAAGAATGATCTCTGTCAGCCCTCAATGACATAAGGAGTAATTTACTTCTCAGAGGGTACCAGTATAACAACATTGATGTCTGTAAAGCAAATGGTTCTCAAGATACTCAGCTGACAACATCTTCTTACATGTATGTCTAATGTTGTTTGATCCCTGACCTTTGACATCGTGGCCTCATACACAATAAGGGTCATATTCTCCTTAAGGAGAAGCAATGTATCAAGTTTGGTGTTTGTAAAACAAATGGTTTTCAAATAGTCGAACGGCCAGTACTATACTCCTATGTCCAGTTTGACCCTTGGCCTGTGATCACAAAATCTACATTGGTCGTCTTTAAATTTCTTCAATGGGAATCAATGTACCAGGTTTCATGTCTCTCAAGCAAAGTTTTCTTTAAGATATTCAGCGGTCAATATATATTCCTATGTCCAGTTTGATCCTTGACCTTTAATCTAATGACTTCAAAATACACACGTGCATGGTCATCTACTGCTCTATGGGAACCAGTGTTCCGAGCTAAAGATGTCTTTCTTCCAAAGGGTTCTCAAGATTATGAGTGGCCAAGCAGCATCTTCCTATCTCCAGTTTGACCTTTGACTTTTGACACTGTGACCTCAAAATCACTAGGGGTTATTGACTTCTTAAGGAAAGCATGTACCAAGTTTGATATCTGTCAAGCATGTGGTTCTCAAGATAAAGAATGGACAAAATCTCCCTACTTTATAAAAATTTTACGCTTGAGCTTTGACTTTGTGACCACAAATATCAATAGGGGTCATTTACTCATCAGGGGGTTTACCAGTGTGCCAAGTTTGATGTCTGTCAAGCAAAGAGTTCTCGAGATATTGTAGATATGTCGAAAACGGAAATTTCCATGACATCAATTATTTTTATAATATTCTTGTAAACAAATCTAACTTGATTTGTGAATACAACACTAAAACAACATCAAACGTATACAAAAATGCCACGATACTTCAAAAGGTGCCTTTATAAACATTAAGACTCATGAGAAGATTTTGTTAGATACCACTAAACTTGATAAGTAGCAAACCACTATATGAAATTTTCATCAAAATTCTTTTATAAAGCCCTCCTCTGAGAAATGTTGGTCGACAATCTTTAATTTCAATTTTGAGAAAAACAAAACAGATATTTATCAATCAAAAATGACTAAAGTCAAAGATAAACAATTAGCAAAATTTAATTATAAGCTCCTATAAAATTTACTTATAATAACAAATCTGTTCACAAATGAAATAAGTGAAGGATGTATAAAATCAATGTCCTTTTTGTCAGACAGTCGAAGATACAAAAAATTAAATTTTTGAGTGTAAAAATATGCATATGATTTTAGCTTATCTAGAAAAATGTTTGAAATTAGATATAAAATAGAAAAATATTGTATTAGGTTTTTTCTATGAAGAAAATAAAACTACTATTTCGCTCAATTATTTATAATCTTACACTACGTTTTTATTACATATATAAAATAA